GACTGATCTGGGTGAGCGGCCTCGTTCTCCTCCGGTTCTGTACGTCGACAACAAGGTCATGATTGCCTTGTGTCGGGAACAGAGACTGGAGCACATAACGAAACACATTGCTCTTCATTATTTTCTCGCTCAAGAGTTACAGCAGCGTGGTCAGCTTCGCCTTGCTTGCGTAGCCTCACAGGCCAACAATGCTGATATCTTCACCAAGGCCCTAGGGTCTGGTGATCATCAGCTTTTCTGCACTTCTCTAGGCCTTGTGCCTACTCTGCCTCACTTGCTAGTCTCTTAACTTTGTCTTGTACTTTGATATATATATACCTGCATGTGTACTACTGCTAGGTTGTGATCACTGTACTGCTTGTGCTCTTATACCATTGCATGTGAACTGGCCTTGTGGCCGCTTGCTTGTGCTCGGACTGTGTGATGATATTGAGATCCACCCTGAGCTTTGTTTTGTTGTTTCTCTTGACTGGTCTTGTGACCATCCTGTTGTCCCCCACTTAGCCTATGGGGGTGTGTCAAATTACAAATATAGTTGTTAGGCTGTAGTGGGGCACATAATATGGAGGATAGCACTTCTAGGGTTTGTACTTGTATCCCAACCCTTGCTAATCCAATCATTCTTGCTGATTCAGTTTCGACAATGTGCTGAGCCGTGTTGTCCTGCTACTCGTTGCAGCCACATCGCCTGCTCTCTCGCCCACCTACCGTCTGCCTGCACCCGCCGCTGCTGCTCTCTCTGCCGGTGTACCCCTACAGGGGATGTTGCTGCACATGGCCATTCACTGCATGCAGTTAGGGGGTGTGTTCGAATACAACTTTATGCAGTGTACCCTGTAGTGTATGTAATCCTTTGCTGTATGTGGTGTACCTCCTTTTCCTTGCCTATATCCCTGTAGTGTTTCTCATTATTCAAGCCTCTTTGGCCAACACTCTCGACCTCGTTCCTCTTGTCATGCTTCCTCCCGCCACTCACGCTACCTAGCTAAGATAGTCCTCTTGACATCCGGGGTGACACCCGTTGATCCTGCTCTCATCGAGCGACTTATCACCCGCATTAACGCCCTGGAGAGCCATCATCAGCCGATGCGCGTTGACGGCTCAAGTTACGCCAGATGACCTCCCGATTCTCAAGGACCCTACTCCGAGCGCTCGTTCACCTTCGACAATCGCCAAGGGCAGATACCTGCTTACGCACAACAAGCACATTCCGAGGAAATGCATCAATTCAGAGCAGGGTCGGTGCAGAGCTAGGTCTACACTATATAAAAATGGCTGAGAAAACAGCCAAGGTAAAAAACAAAAAGGCTGAGAATCCAGCCTAGGTTCAAAAAAACTTTGGAGTTAGCCAAGGATGAAAAATATGTTTTGTCAGACATACATGATATAGCCTGTGTAGGTTGTAGTGGGGTAGACAATATGGGGTACAGCTTTCCTAGGGTTTCATACTTGTACCTTTCTCATTCTTAGTCAATTCATTCCTCGTATTATTCTCACATGGTATAGAGCGAGTTCCCTAGTGGGACCGTTTTTTTTTAAGGGCCCACCACTGCGAATTTTTCCTTACCTGCCCGAAGCGTGCTTCGCGCTTGCCTTATCTGCGCCCCGTGCGCCTGCCCTCCCGTCGTGCGCTCTGCCCTTAGTGGCCCGCCCTTAGCGGCCCTGCCCTTAACGGCCCGTCGCGCCCTTTCACGGCCCCTTCACGGCCCCTTCGCGGCCCTTCGCGGCCCCCCCTCACGGCCCTTCGCGGCCCCTTCGCGGCCCCTCGCAGCCCCTTCGCGGCCCTTCGTGGCCCCCCTCGCGGCCCTTCGCGGCCCCCTCGCGGCCCTTCGCGGCCCCTTCGCGGCCCTTCGCGGCCCCCTCGCGGCCCCTCGCGACCCCTTCGCGGCCCTTCGCGGCCCCCCTTCGCGGCCCGCCTGCTCGTCGTAGCGGCCCTGCCGCCCCGTCGTCGCCGCCCGCCTGCTCGTCGTAGCGGCTCTGCCGCCCCGTTGTCGCCGGCCCTGCAGCGGCTGTCGCTGCCCCTGCCCTGCCGCCACTGTCGCGGCCACCTGCCCTGCAGCAGCTGCCGTCGCCCCTGCTGCCGCCGTAGCGGCCCTGCTGCTGCTGCTGCCGAGCCTGCAGCCGCCCTGCCGGCCCTGCTGTCCCGGCCCTGCCCTGCCGCCTCGCCGCGGCCCCTCCTTGTGGCGGCCCCTTGCCCTGCCGACGCGCCCCGGCCCTCCACTCACGCCACTGCTAAGCGCACCGCCGCACCCGCGCGCTGCTGCGCCCGCGCCGCCCTGCCAAGCCGCGCCGCCCTGCCGAGCCGCGCCGCCCTGCCGAGTCGCGCCGCCCTGCCGAGTCGCGCTACTGCTGCTGCCGCTAGACCACTGCTGCTGCTCCTGCTGCTATGGCCAGCCCTAACGCACTCACCTTCGATGCTGAGGGTCGAGCGGTCGATTTTGAGGTATGGGTCGATGATCTGTAGCTGTTCCTGCAGTGCGATAGCAAGGATGGAGTCTCACTTTTTGACCTCACGTCTGGCGCCTCTGCTCCACCTGCTGCTGATGCTGCCAGTACTGTTCGCTCACAGTGGACCACGCGCGATGCTGCTGCCCGTCTTGCTGTCCGTAGTCACCTGCCGTCTGCTGAGCGCGCGCACTTTAGCCAGTACAAGACTGCTAGCACTCTGTACGCTGCTGTTGTTGCGCGCTACTCCTCCCCTGCCACTGCTGCCCTTAGCCGCCTCATGCTGCCGTACCTGTTCCGTGACCTAGCCGCTTTTGCCACAGTCGCTGACCTCATTACGCACCTCCGCACTAGTGACACCCGCTACCGCGCTGCGCTTCCTGCCGAGTTCTGCGCTGCGAACCCCCCCCCTATGTACATCACTCTCTACTACCTCGTCACCCGGCTCCCTGACTCCCTTCGCTCGGTCAGGGACCAAATCCTCTCCCTTTGCCCCACCACGCTCACCGTTGACCTCCTTGAGGAGCGCCTCCTTGCAGCTGAGAAGAGTATAGTCGCTGTAGGAGCCTCTCGTGGTGACCCTCGTGCCCCTTTCTTTGAGGGGTGCTCCCCCGTCCCTCTTTTGCCCTCTGTTGCCTCTGCTGCTGCTGTCGACCTCGTTGGCACCGAGTCGGTCGGCGCTGCGTCTGCCCCTGGTGGGAAGCGCCGCTACGGCAAGGGCAAGGGGGGCAAGGGGGGTGGAGGGGATGGCGGGGGCGGCGGTGGTGGCAGTGGAGGAGGCGGAGGGGGTGGGGGTGGAGGTGGGAGCGGTGGCGGGAGTGGGGGCTTCGGTGGCGGCGGTGGAGGTGGAGGCGGCGGAGGCAGCGGGAGTGGGGGTGGAGGTGGCGGCGGCGGGGGCGGTGGCGGGCAGCGGGGAGGCTCTAGCGGTGGCCAGCGCCAGTAGCAGCAGCGCTCCCGTGAGACCCTGTCGCCTCAGCAGCTCCGTGAGTGGTACGCTAGGCGTGGGAGGTCTGGGGGTGCTGGTCCATGCACTTACGTTCTTCGCACAGGCGACCGCAGTGGAGAGACGTGCGGCGGCCCGCACACCACGCCCCGCTGCTTCGGCCGCCTGACTGACGCCTGGCGTACACAGTTCCCTGGCTCCACTGAGATCCCTCGCTGGGATATTCTGCTTAAGTCGGGGGTTGCTATCTTTGATCTTGATTATGATGCTATCCTTGCTGTTATGTATGCTGTGTCTATTAGTGCTGAGGGTGACTGTTACCTGTGTGTTCCGCCCGACCCGGGCATTGAGGCTGCTGCTCTAGGTGCTAGTGAGTCTGCTGCTCCAGGTGCTGGTGAGGCTGCTCTCTCAGGTACCGCGTCGGCTCAGGTCTTGCACACTTTCACCCTTGACTCGGGTGCTTCCCGCTCCTTCTTTCGCGACTGCACCACACTCTCACCGCTCAGTCGGCCGGTGGCAGTCTCTCTGGCTGACCCCTCTGGGGGACCAGTTGTGGCCCGTTCCTCCACTGTTCTCCCGTGTCCTGCGGCTCCGTCCGGCTCGCAGTCTGGTCTTCACCTCCCCTCGTTCTCTACGAACTTGGTGGCCGGTTCTGATCTTCAGGACGGGGGTGTTCACCAGTTCACCCCTGCCTATCAGCGTGTGACGCACTGCACGTGTGCTCGGACGGGCCATCACCTGGCCACGTTCGCCCGTCGGCCAGGGTCCAGCCTGTACACCCTTACCACTGAGTCTCCTCCTGTCACTGCGTCTGGTCAGGTAGCCGCGTCTGGTCAGGTGTTTGCTGCAGCGTCCCGGTCTGGCCCTGCGTCTGCCCCCTGCTCGTGTCGCCTCCTGTCTCACGAGACTCTCCTTTGGCACCACCGCCTTGGTCACCCCTCCCTGCCTCGTCTTCGAGGCATGGCCTCTCGTGTCCTTGTCTCAGGTCTCCCCCCTTCCCTCCCTACCCTTCCTCCGGGGCCTGCCCCTACCTGCGTTCCTTGCGTCGAGGGCCGGCAGCGAGCCGCTCCTCACTCCTCCGAGTTTCCTCCGACAGAGGCTCCCCTGCAGACTCTTCACATGGACGTGTGGGGCCCAGCCCGCGTCCGTGGACAGGGTCACGGGCGTTACTTCCTGCTGGTTGTTGACGACTACTCGTGTTACACCACGGACTTCCCCTTGCGCCGCAAGGGTGAGGTCACTGAGGTGTTGATCGACTGGATCCGCGCTGCTCGTCTCCAGCTCAGAGAGAGTTTCGGCTCGGACTTTCCTGTTCTGCGTCTGCACTCCGACAGAGGTGGAGAGTTTTCCTCCGACCTTCTGCAAGCTTTCTGTCGGGCGGAGGGCATCCGCCAGACGTTCACGCTTCCGGCCTCTCCACAGCAAAATGGGATTGCTGAGCGCCGCATTGGCATGGTCATGGATGTTGCTCGTACGTCCATGATCCATGCGGCTGCTCCCCATTTTCTGTGGCCGTTCGCGGTTCAGTACGCGGCGCATCAGATCAACCTCCAGCCCCGGGTCTCCATGCCGGAGACCACCCCCACTCTGCGGTGGACGGGGAAGGTTGGCGATGCGTCTGCGTTCCGTGACTGGGGATCTCGAGCTTTCGTCCGCGACTTGTCTGCGGACAAGCTGTCCTCCCGTGCCGTTCCCTGCGTCTTCCTTGGCTTCCCCCCTGACGCGCTTGGTTGGCAGTTTTACCACCCCAATTCGCGCCGTGTTCTGTCCTCTCAGGACGTCACGTTTGACGAGTCGGTTCCTTACTACCGTCTCTTCCCCTACCGCACTGCCCCCCTCCCCCCCCCCGCCGCTCTTCCTCGCGCCAGGTACTCCTCCGGTAGACCCCCTCCCCCCTTAGGGTCCTGCCCCCTCAGGTGTGTCTCAGGTAGATGCAGTCGAGCCTGTTGAGGTAGCTGTTGACTCTGGTACTGCTAGGGGTGCTGAGCGTACGGGTGCCGGGTCTGGGGGTGCTGAGCCTGGGGGTGCTGAGCCTGGGGTTGCTGAGTCTGGGGGTGCTGAGCCTGGGGGTGCTGAGCCTGGGGTTACTGAGTCTGGGGGTGCTACGCCTGGGGGTGCTGTGTCTGGGGGTGCTGAGACTGGAGGTCCTCCGAGTGTCCCGTCACGGCGGGAGGCCCTCTCTCCACAGCAGCTTCGTGAGTGGTACGCTCGGCACTGTAGCCGTGCTGCTGGAGCTGGGGGGCCTGCTGCTGGAGGTGCTGCTGGTGCTGGAGCTGCTGGTGGTGCTGCTGGAGGTGCTGCTGGTGCTGGTGCTGCTGGAGGTGCTGCTGGTGCTGGAGCTGCTGGAGGTGCTGCTGGTGCTGGAGCTGCTGGAGCTGCTGGAGCTGCTGGTCCTGGAGGTGCTAGTGCTGGGGGTACTGGCGCTGCTGGAGGTCCTGCTGGTGTTGGAGCTGCTGGCGGTGCTGGAGCCGCTGGTCCTGGAGGTGCTGGTACTGGAGGTACTGGAGCTGCTGGGACTGGAGCTGCTGCGGGAGTTGGAGCTGGAGGTGCTGGAGCTGTTGGAGCCGGTGGTGCTGCGGGAGTTGTAGCTGGAGACCCTGGAGCTGAGGGTGCTAATGCTGTCTCTGCTGGTTCAGGAGGTGCTGCGCGGCCGCGGCCGTACTACGTTCCGCTCCTTCAGCAGGTTCTTGGCCTCCCGCCTTCTACTAGTCCTACTCCTCCCCTACTGAGTCCACCGCTTGTCCAGTCGCAGTCACAGTTACAGCCAGCCTCTCCACTGCCTGGTCCTTCTCCTTACTCTGGACCGACTAGAGGTCTTACGGAGCGTCGTGAGCCTGAGTCTCGTCCTGCGTAGCCTGAGTCACGTCCAGAGTCGCCTGTCCGCGCTGTCCGCACTGGTCGTCGTGTTCCGCGTCAGCGTCCTCCTCCTGTCCCTGGCACTCACTATATGACTCTGCGTCCTTCCACTGCTCCACAGCGTGTCCCTCTGCCGTCTCCTCCTGCGTCCTCTCTTCTTGACGGTCCGGACCCGGAGTCTGACTCCCTTCGTGCTGCCAGTCCTACTGTCACGCGTTTCCTCGCTACTGTTGTCACTGACCCTTCGTTTGAGTCCACTGCTGCGTCTGCTCTAGTGGCTGAGCTTGTTGACTTTGCTGCTGCCTGTCGTCTAGACTACGCCGCTAGCCTTGTTGCTGAGTCTGAGTCTGTTTGTCCTCCGTCCGTCGGGGGTGAGTGTGCTCTTAGCACGGACGTCCTTGAGGACAGACAGGAGGAGTTTGAGTGCTTTGCCGCTGCTTTACCTCATCTTGTGTCCATGCTGATTGCCCCTGAGGGAGACCCGGATGCACCAGACATCCCGACTCCGCGCTCTTACGCAGAGGCGATAGAGGGTCCCTACTCCTCTCAGTGGCAGTCAGCCATGGATGCAGAGATGGCTTCCTGGAAGTCCACAGGCACCTACGTCGACGAGGTTCCCCCGCCTGGGGCGAACATCGTCAGTGGCATGTGGATTTTCAGGGTGAAGCGGCCGCCGGGTTCTCCGCCTGTCTTCAAGGCGCGTTACGTTGCACGAGGCTTCAGTCAGAGTGAGGGAGTTGACTTCTTCCAGACCTTCTCCCCTACCCCGAAGATGACCACTCTTCGGGTTCTGCTGCACGTCGCCGCTCAGCGTGACTACGAGCTCCACTCTCTTGACTTCAGCACGGCTTTCCTACAGGGCAGCCTGCACGAGGAGACCTGGCTACGCCGCCCACCTGGCTTCACTGGGTCGTTTCCTCCTGGTACCTAGTGGAGCCTCCGGCGGCCAGTCTACGCTCTCCGCCAGGCACCCCGTGAGTGGCACGACACACTGAGGACGACTCTTGCTGCTCTTGGGTTTGCTCCTTCTACTGCTGACCCGTCGCTGTTTCTACGCACTGACACTTCCCTGCCGCCGTTCTACGTTCTCGTGTACGTAGACGCCTTGGTCTTTGCTACCGCTGACACTGAGGGACTCGCCCACGTGAAGTCGGAGCTGCAGAAGAGACACACGTGCACAGACCTGGGTGAGCTGACAAGCTATCTTGGCTTGCGGATCACCCGGGACCGAGCACAGTGCACCATTACCTTGACTCAGTCACACATGGTGCAGCAGGCCCTTTAGCGCTTCCGCTTCACGTACTCCTCGCCACAGTCCACTCCTCTGCCTACTCGCCACTCGCTCTCAGCTCTGCCTTCAGATCAGTCCGTAGAGCCGAGTGGCCCGTATCCAGAGCTTGTGGGCTGCCTCATGTACCTGATGACCTGCACTCGACCTGACCTAGCCTACCCTCTTAGCATCCTAGCACGCTATGTCGCTCGTGGCCGACACAGGAAGGAGCACATGGATGCTGCTAAGAGGGTGTTGCACTACTTGTGTTACGTCGGGCATGGGGCTCGTGCTTGGAGGACGGGCTCGAGTTGTCCTCACTGGTCACGCAGACGCTTCTTGGGTTGACGACTTGGCTACGCAGCGGTCGTCACAGGGTTACACCTTCAGCCTTGGTTCTGGCTCTGTTTCGTGGCGGTCTACCCGCTCGTCTTCTGTTCTCAGCTCCAGTTGTGAGGCTGAGATCTACGCAGGGGCCATGGCTGCACAGGAGTTACGCTGGCTCACCTACCTGCTGACCGACCTGGGAGAGCCGCCTCGTTCTCCTCCAGTTCTGTACGTAGACAACAAGGCCACGCTGGCCTTGTGTCAGGAGCACAGACTGGAGCACAGAACGAAGCACATTGCTCTTCGTTACTTCCTTGCACGTGAGCTGCAGCAGCGTGGTCAGCTGCGTCTTGCTTACGTGGCCTCTCAGGCCAACACTGCTGATATCTTTACCAAGGCACTTCAGCCTTGTGATCATCAGCGGTTCTGTGCTATGTTAGGTCTTGTGCCTACCTGGCCTCACTTGCTTACCTCTTGACTTTGCTTGTACTGTGATCTATATATACCTGCACCTGCATGTTTACCCTTGCTAGGTTGTGATCACTGTCTTGCTTGTTCACCTTGTTTTATAATCCTGCATGTGAACTGGCCTTGTGGCCTTTGAACTTGTGCTCGGAATGTGTGGTGACGTTGTGATCCACCCTGAGCTTGCTTTGCTTTGCTTGACTGGTCTTGTGACCCCTTGTTCTCCCCACTTTGCCTATGGGGGTGTGTCAGACATACATGATATAGCCTGTGTAGGCTGTAGTGGGGTAGACAATATGGGGTACAACTTTCCTAGGGTTTCATACTTGTACCTTTCTCATTCCTAGTCAATTCATTCCTCGTATTATTCTCACATGTTTGAAATAGGTGCATAACTTAGTAGGCTTAGTAGCCGAGGGTTTAGTAAGGATGAGAGTAGCGAGGAGAATATCGAGGGTGTTGACCAAAGGAGAAACGAGAATGATGTTGACTATGAGAAGAGTTACAAGTTATAGCAAGCCAAAGGGTGCACCACCTAACATGACAGCAATAGAACTACACTACAGCTACAACTACATGCAGTTATACAGAAATATATTATGACACACCCCCTAACTGCATGCAGGAATAGCCATGTGCATAACACCCCCTGAAGGGGTACACCCTGCGCAGCGGAAGACAACCGAGAGGAATGCGAGGAGGAGGAGACGAGAGAGAGAGAGGGGAGAGGAGAGGAATGAGGAGAGGAGGTGGGGGGAGCCACGCGACGAGCCCCTCTTACGAACCCCCGTTTTACAAAGGGGGGGGGGGGGTGAGAGAGGGATGAGGAGAGGAGGTGGGGGGAGCCACGCGGCGAACCCCTCTTACGAACCCCCGTTTTACAAAGGGGGGGGGGGGGGGGTGTGAGAGAGGGAGGAGAGGAGGTGGGGGGGAGCCTACCGCGGCGAGCCCCTCTTACTAACCCCCTAATTCCACGCCCCCTTTCAGCCACCCCCCCTCAACCTCACCCCCCTTGTCAACCGCCCCCTGGAACCTCACGCCTTCCCCCCACCCTTCCTCCAAAGCCTTCACACGGCGGCCAGAAACCCGCCACCCCCTCACCCTCCCCCCCACAGCGGCATGTGCGGCAGTGAGAGAGAGAGGAGGAGCGGCGGCAGCTGGGTGCTCACACCCGCCACCCCAAACCCACCCCCCCCCACTGTTGCACGCGCAGCAGAGAGAGAGAGGGGAAGGCGAGCGGCAGCGGCAGTAGCTCCTCCCGTCACTCCCACCACTCCACCCTCTCCACCCTCCCCCCCCACAGCAGCAGGTGCGGCCGTGAAAGAGAGAAGAGGAGGGTGGTGCTGTTGGTGCCACCTCCCCCTTACACCCCCTCCCCCTCCCCCCAAACTGCTGCACATGCAGTAGGGAGAGGAAGGGAGGAAGGGGGCGAGGTGTGCGATCTGGTGGGGCGGGCGCGGGCGGGCAGGGCGCACGAGGCGCCGGGCAGAGGCGCACGAGGCGCCGGGCAGAAACCGCCGCTGCAACAGGAGCAGCAGGGGGGGAAAGGAGAGGCGGAGGGGGGGGGGTGCTAGCTTGGTGACGAAGCAGAGCAGCGGGGCGCTGGAGGTGCAACCACCCCCCACCGCCACTCCTGCGTCCCCCCAACACCCCCCCCCCCCCCCCCCCCCCCCCAAGCTGCTGCACGCGAAGCAGGAGAGGGAGGAGGAAGCGGGTGGCGGGGACGACGGGAAGCAGGGCAGCGGGGCCCCCGCGTGACGGGCAGAAAACCGTCGCATGCTGGGGGCGAGCGACGGGCAGAACACCGTCACGTGCTGGGGGCGCGCGACGGGCAGAAACCGACGCACGTCCGGGGCGTGCGACAGGCAGAAACCGCCACACGCCCGGGGCGTACGACGGGCAGAAACCGCCACACGCCCGGGGCGTGCGACGGGCAGAAACCGCCACGCGTCCGGGGCGTGCGACGGGCAGAAACCGACGCGCGCCACGGGCACGCGACAAACAGAAAACCGACGCACGCCACGGGCGCGCGACGGGCAGCAAGGAGGCGCATTAGCGGAAGCTTACGGTGGGCCCAAGAATGAAGGCTCTACGAACGAGCCTGCTCTGATACCATGTTTGAAATAGGTGCTTAACTTAGTAGGCTTAGTAGCCTAGGGTTTAGTAAGGATGAGAGTAGCGAGGAGAATATCGAGGGTGTTGACCAAAGGAGAAACGAGAATGATGTTGACTATGAGAAGAGTTACAAGTTATAGCAAGCCAAAGGGTGCACCACCAGGGCCTATCTTTGGATTTTGGCTACTCATGATTAGCAGTGTAGCCATTTTCAAAACCCTTCTGAGCAGTGTGCCCTTTTTGGTTACACTGATGGATCAGTGTAACTTGAAGTTTTGAAAATTTTACCCAGAGGCATCAGTGTAAGTATTTGTTTTACCATGATTGTATTGTAGGCAGTTGTGTGTTCCATCTTAAACCGAAACATGCTAGTCCAGGGTGATTTTCGATAGAATCTGCTGTGACAGACGAATCTATGCCGTGATAAATCGAATATGCATATTTCTCTACTGTGATAGGTCAAATCTGCATGATCTCTTCTGTGATAGGTTGAAAATGCACTGACAAGTCGAATTTGGTCTTGCTGGAGGAATTTGGCGTGGCAGGTCAAGAATGAATCTACTTCTCGGTCCCACTTGTTGTAACAAGAAACGAGAGATTGTGCTTTGATTGGTCAGACAGGCCTTGGTAAAAAAAACTGACGCGATCCTGGTCGTCAGTACTCACGTGCTCGCGTTGTAGTGCATCATTACGAAATTGGGTGTATCGGGATAAAAATTCCAGGAAACTTCGTCTCGATAGGTCGAGTTTCAGGAAGGGGGGGCCGGGGGGGGGGGGGGGGGGGAGTTCCCTATATGCTCTTCAGGGTAATCTTCGCTAAGGGAAATATTACCCCAGAGCATCAGTGTGGCCTAAATCGTTACACTGGCATATCAGTGTAACACTAATCCGCCAAAATTTTACCCAAACACATCAGTGCAGGCCCTAAATTTCACCCTTATAATCAGTATAGCAGTGTGAATTACACTGATAAAATAGGCCCTGCGTCTCAAAGTTAGCGAACAACGGAATGTGTGAACTAGGGAAACAAGGGATACAAATAGCAACCCTAAAAGGGTTGTACTCCCTAGAGTGCTACTCACTGTAGCCTAAGAACCTATAATAACATTTGACACACCCCCATAAGCTAAGTGAGGGGCATCAAAGCAAGCAGGGTGAACAAACGGTCACAAGACCAGTCAATGCAAGAAGCAAAGCAAGCTCAGGGTGGATCTCAAGGACACCACACAAATTCCGAGCACAAGCAAGCGGCCATAAGGCCAGTTCAAGAGTTCACTAGGATATATATAGCAAAGCACAACAAGCAGAGCAAACAGCAAGTCTACAGCAACCGAGGGCCTACCTCAACAAGCCCCAACTGCACACAGAACCTGTGGTGGTCACCAAGCGCCAGGGCCTTGGTGAAGACGTCTGCAGTGTTGGCCTCTGAGGCCACAAAGTCCAGGCGTGCCTGGCCGCGTCGCTGCAGCTCTCGCAGAAGAAAGTACCTCACGTCAATATGCTTAACTCTGCTCTCCAGTCGAGGCTCTCGACAGAGGAGGATCATGGCCTTGTTGTCATCGTACAAGGTCGGTGCAGAGCGAGGCCGCTCACCAAGGTCGGCGAGCAAGAACGTCAACCAGCGAAGCTCCTGTGCCGCCATGGCACCAGCGTAGATCTCTGCCTCTGCACTGGAAGTAGCCACAGACGACGACTGTGTAGACCTCCACGACACAGCACCAGCACCCAGACTGAAGCAGTAACCCTGAGTCGAG